TTATTAATAAATAAAAATATTTTATATAATTCATAGTAACTCTGTATATCACAATTACAAAATTTTATATTATATTACCTCAAATTTTTATCTTCAGAAATTTGTTTTTTCATTTTCCCTAAACTATGTAAGATCTGTTTTTTGAATTAAACAAACATCTGTACTAACTAAATTTAAATCTTAAGTGTATTCGAATTCTTGCAAAAAGTATTCCTTGAATTTGATTGGTTGGTAATAGTTTGAAAGTATTCAAAATATTTGTTGAAAGTATTCAAAATACTTGAAAATATTCCTTAAATCTAATTGGTTGATAATAAAATAGTCATTTGTATTACAGTAAATAATTTCATCGAACAATTTTAATAAAATTTATTTTTAACAATGAAAAGTATAAACTCATATCCATAAAAAAAAAGTTTTTCCGTTAATAATTCTATGAAAGGAAATTCTTATTTCTTATTGCTAATTGTAAATCACTATATTTTTTTAAATTCTTTCTTAGTAAGATAAGTACATTGTAAAAAGATTTTCTGTAAGAATTTAATTTCTAAATTCTACATTGATAATTCCATAAAAGGAAATTCCTAAATTGTAAAAAAATTTTCTGTAAGAATTTAAGAATTTTTGATAAGGATTATTAATCTAAATTCTAAAATCGTACCAATTATTTTAAGCTTATTTTTTTTTTATATATGTTGAGGTTTTTTTTTTATCATAAATGTTTAAAGAACGTAAAATTTTTTTTAAACTTGAAAATTCACAAACAATTAAACAAAAAACAATGTTTGTTAAAAGAACATATGTTGAAGAAAATTTATATAACTGGTTAGACTTTTAACTACATAATTATAAAATATCTAATAAAAGATAAGTTATATTCACTTAATAATCATATTTGTGCACGCTGCTCTTCAAGCATCAGGAATTTATTCTAAGAATGGTTGGACTGGTTGAAAAAAAAGCTTAAATTAAAAGCACCTAAAGATATCTGTTTACGAATTAATAAGATAATCAAAACCAAAAAAAATGTAATAGAATATATTTATAAATCTAAAAAAAAAAGAATATAATGTATTGTAGTGTTTGCCAGTTGATAATTTTTTGAGAAGTATGCTATAAATATTATTGTTTAATAAATTTTTTTTAAAATATTAAAAAAATCATAATTTTTTTTTTAAAAAAAAAAACAAACTTTGAGGATCATATCTCGTAAACGTCGCAAGGCTTGTACAAGATGGTATACGAGGATGATCTTCAAAGTTTCTGCCTGCTTGCCAGATATACAAAAAAAAACACAACCCAGCCTTGCTGGCCATTCAACACAGAAGTCAAATTATACAAGGGTAATAAATTATCGGGGTGGATAAAAAAAGTTTTTGAGCCGTTTTTTACGATGATTCAGTGCTAGGCTAGGACCATAGCCAAATCAGCAATTTGGGAACACTGAATCAACATAAAAACAAATCAAAAACAAGATTTAAAGTAAATTAAAAAACTTAATTTGGTAATTAAAAAAAAAAAAAAAAAAATCTAATTAGTTTATTATCGATTAGATTTTTATTTGTATAATTTGTTTTTTAAAATATCTCAATCTTTAAGTGAGTTTGATTCTGAAATTCAAAATACGATTCGTATTGGCGGGGACCCAGTCAAAAATTCGAATCAAATGACGATTCGCTTACAGTAAATATAAAAAACTCAACCCACAATAAGCACATGCGAGGCTAACGGCATGCCAAAAAAAAAGCTCACAACAAAGTGAAAAGTTTAGTTGTAATCTAATCAGTTTTAAACTGATTAGATTTTTCTTTAAGTATTATTTGATAATGTCTCAAGTTGAAGTTTGCACAATTAAGAAAACAGATCTTACATGGTTCAGAGAGAACAAAAAAACAAATTTTAGAAGACCAATTATGTTTCCTGACAATGAAGGACATATAACTAAATATATTCAAATCAAGTTAAGTGATAAGCAAAATGTTCTTTTTGACAAAGAACGTCGAGAATTTCTTAAACAGTATAAATTTGTTCTCGATAAAGATAATAATATTATTGATAAAGCTAGTAAAGAATATTTGATAAGCAAATAATTTTTTAAGTTTATCTTTGTATTTAGCAACAATTTGCTAAAAATATTTAAATACCTAAACTTTTAGTTTTTAAATTAAAAATGCTATTCCAATATTTAAACCTTTTCATAATATATTTTTTAATGAAGAAGAATATATTAAATATTTATTTAGTAATAATATTTTATATCCCTTAGATTGTAACACAGGCAAATTTGCCTGCATATTTTAAAATTTTTAATAAAATTTTAAATATTGAT